CTTCAGATAGGAATTTTTCTAGGGCATCTCATAACCTTAGGCTGCAGTAACTGGCCTGTGGCCAGTTTTGTCTCAAGATGAAGGTGTGCAGAGTTTAGCATCATTCATCTGTAAAAATCAAAGGGATGATTTGCACTTAACTGGTTGGCCAGGCCAAGGAAGAGACCCTTTTACTTCTCTTGTGACTTGTGACCTACATAGTGTTCTAGGTCCAGAACACGATACCTCTTGAGTGGGGAGCAAGGAATCTCTACCTATGAATACGGATTGAGAGATTCACATTGCCATATTGCCATAGCATCATGAAATTTAATCCTTTTTCAGCTCTCACGGGTGGTTATGGCCATTTCTCCATTAAACTTGCTCAGTTTCTTACAATGGCAACTACTAGAGCTGGGATTAAAATCCAGTCTTGTTTGGCTCTAGAAACCTCTGTTTCTCACTACATAACACACACTTGCCTTTCAGTAATCACATCTGTAGTTACAAGAGTGTATCCTGGCTGACAGATCCAAGTGACACCCGCCCCCCCCGCCCCTGACACTGTACTGAGCTACCTGGACATTGCCAAATGTGCTGGCATCGACTCTAGTCATTGTGGACGGCTCATATCACCCGAATGCTGGTTGCTTCTCTTCTCCAATTTGAATCATTATGTATTAGGTACCAAGAATGGTTGAATGGGGAACTGAGCAATCCCATAGGCCTTGCTATGGCTAAGGTACTGGGCTGTTGCATCTAGAAAACTGTAATGTAAGCCAGCAGTGACCAAACTTTGGGACTTTCTTTATGCAGCCTAAACCACATTGAGGTTGTCACCATCTGCTTGGCTTTTATGCAGCCTTGCAACAAAGCTCTTGTCTGCATGGTGTCTTCCTCTCTTCCTCTGCCTCCATGTCACCATTAAAACATATATATCCAAGCATGATGGTTCTGGAGCAAGGATGTGTCTATCTAGGTTGGCTTTTCAAGGAGATTTATTTTCTGTCTTGACATTCAGCAGCTATAGATCTGGTTGAATATATAGCAACATGTGGATGTCTGTGAGCTGTGTAATTGGACTGGGGATGGAAGAAGGCAAGATGGAGGGATATTTTAGTACCTGATACACTCCCTGGCAACCAGAGAACCTGTTCCCCAGGACTTTTTATCACCTTTATAGACACCTGCTCTAGGGTGCTGTCTCCACTGTGACCTTTTTTTTTGGTGGTATTGAGCTACGGCCCTGGCTCTTTATTCATCATCATCATCATCATCATCATCATCATCATTATTATTATTATTTATTAATTTTGAGTTAGGGTCTTACTAATTTACCCAGGCTGGGCTTGAACTTGTGATCCTCCTGGTTCAGGTTCTCAGAGTGCTGGGATTACAGGTGAGAGCCACCAGGCCTGGTTTCCATGGTGATTGTAATTGTAAGAAAGCATCTATTTCCTGTCATGAGTAAGAAGCTACCTGACTGTTGAGTCACAGCATCTTCTAACTCCCCATTCTTCTCTGGATGCCTAGGATAAGATTCATTTTTTTTTTTAACAAAGCTTTGTTTCCATATTCTGAGAAGTAATGTAGGTGGATGACCAGAAGGACAGGGGCACGCTCTATGGGCTGCATTTTGGTTAGTGTCTCTGGTGTTGCTTTACTCTTCAGGGGTTTTCTCCAAAGTAACTGGTTTCATTTTGCTCCTCCCTTCATGCAGACCCTTTTCTCTTTGATGTCTCCTTCAAAGTCCAGCTGCCAGACCTGCACTATTTCAGAAGGAGGAGAAACTTGGGGATCTACAGGTGCACAGAGCAATTTATAAAAGAACCTCTGTGAGCCAAGGCAGGCTGTGAGATATATTCCACACCTACTTCAGCCCAGCAACTTGGGAAATGGGACAAAGTTCTGCAAATCAGACCTAGCAGGCTTTTACCCCATGAATGCGTTCTCTGCAACCACCAAGTGACTCCGCGTCACTACTTTTCTAACAATCAACCACACTGAAATCAGATACCTGGTTGAATAAATCTCTGATTCTGAAACAGAGGTAATGACGACCACCTAATGGGTTGTGAAAAACAAATGTAATAAAAACATAATGCTTGATATGTGGTATATACTCATTAATGTAACTTCTAACCACAACTGTTATATTTCTGCCAAGAGCATTATCTTTCTACAGTAACTGTGAAGTCTTCACGTTAATTCTTGTTTCAGCCTATTCAGTCCTTTCTTGTATTCAAACTCCAAACTCTATTCATTTCCCCCCTACAATATTCATTCCCACTCTTGATAATTTAATTTACATATTTCTTTCAATGCTCAGACTACAGGCAAGATTAATTAAGTAACACATTCATTCAAGAAGTAATAACTGTGCCGTTAATATGCGGACTGTTTTCTGGTGTTGGGGATAGAGGGTGAACAGTTCCAGAAGTCTCCTGTTCTCATGGTACTGATGTTCACATGGGTGAAGACAGTTGGTAAACAAGTAAGTTAATGAATACGAAAAAGTTAGATGGCAGGAGGTGTAGGCAAGCAGTTGCACAGGGATGTGATAGGGTGCAGGTGTCAGAGGGAGCCGGGGAGGTTACATTAGACAGGTGTCAGAGAAGTTGGATCTGAGAGGAGCCACATGAGCTTCGATGGATGTGAAGGAGTAGAAGGGATATAAGGTGCTGGAGCAGCAGGTGCCTGCAAGGCTTCCATGGAATGAGCCAGGCCAGGCAGAAGGCCAGAGGGCAGGCCAGCGAGACAAGAGGAAATCAGAGGGGAGTGTAGGACCACATTGGTAGGAATTCGTGGTAAGGACTTGGATGGTACCAGAGGTATAATATAAGCCACCGCAGCTTTTAGATGAGGTTGGGGGTGGGAATCATACAACAGTGGACATTTTATAGAACTCACTCTGCTGGCCAAGTGGAAGATAGACTTGTGGTGAGTGTGGAAGGAGGAAGCAGAGTAGCATGGAGAGGGACTGCCTGCTGGCTGGTACCAGTAGAGAAGGAGCAAAATGGAAAATATGGGAAACAGTTTTGAGAAAAATTCCATACTAACTTTCCTGAGGTCATTTCCAAACTTCAAAATGTTTAGTGCTACCAGATTATATTTCCTTCTGATGCACAGCTGAATAACTTTGTTTTTCAAAGTCCTCCATGATTCTTCCTTGACCACTGTGCATTTTATTGACTATCCACTTCTCCAAACTCCCACATTATCTGCGCTGCATAATTAATAAGCAAGCAAATAGCAGCCCACTTCCTGCTATTCTGCGCTGTGTGTCAGATTTGTTAGACTTGTCTGTTTTCGAGATAGAAAACACCTTTGGACAGTCACTTTGTAAAGTGTGAATGCTTTTTCCTTCACTCTATAGCATTTTGCCTTGCTCTGTATACAGGGTATGTGGTGAAATTGTGTATTGACTGATTAAAAACACACATCACTCGCATTTGTCTCTTTGGTATTTCTCTTATACAAAGAAGGGTGATTATCTGTCAATATCCATTGCATCACTGAACCAGTATACAATGCATTAATCATCTCTGCAATAACCAGATGAGGCTTTATTGTCATCTCTTTATATTTTGCTGAGATAATTTCACTTGCTTTAGAGTTTATGAGGCCATAAGTGGCTCCCATCTGTTGATGAACATATTTTTAAGAATCATTTAGTCTCAAGTATGGAATACTTGAGGGGAAGCTAAATTGTAACTTTTATATTAAGTGTCATCTTAGTAACAGAATCAAAATTGGAAGCATGTGTTCAATGTTGTCTTTCATTTTCAAAGCTTTAGGTCAGGCAAACAATTAATTTCATTAGTTTACAAAGTAGATTATGCCTAATAAAATCTATTTTGTTTATGATCACATTTTAGTTGATCCATTGCCCTTAGAAAATGGGAGAAATCTGATTGGCTAATTATTCAACATAGTAAATTACATTATTCCACATCCAGAGAACGTTGGCCTAATTGACTTCTCCAGCAATCATAAATGAAAATATTCCCTTTTAATACATTTTGAGCAAGGCATACGAGTGATGAAACAGAGAAGAATCTTGTTTATTCCATCTTTGTTTGATGATTGACCACAGAATGTAACACAGCAGCACTTCTGTGGATAACTTTTTCCACAGTAAGGCTAATAAAGACAAGGGAGTTTCATTGGATTTTTCCTGGTACTCTGAATTGTCACTATCTGTACTTTTTGGCCTTTCCAGAAATTCATCTTTGTATCAGTGCTATTTTGTAAAATAAATGTTACATAAAATTGATTTCACTTTATGCCCAGTAAAAGGGAAAATTGTGGTCACTTTCTCTTGCTAGCAAGAGGTAGAACATTCTCTAGGGCATTTCCCTTTCCTCTTGATTCTGATAAGCCTCAAGCAGCATTTCCTCAGCAAAATTCAGACACATGCACACAGAAACTCACACACCAGGGAAGTCTGTGGACAGATTCTGTGGATGGAGGGGGGTCGGCCTGAGGGGCTGACCATATATATAACATGGATTCTATGGCATCGACCTGGTATTAATGATCCCTGCTTAAAACACAGCTTTCTTCATCTTTTTTTTTAACGCTAACGAGAAACTCATCCAAAATGACTGCTCTTTTACACAATTTCAGCAGAGATCAGTTTTCCATTTGATAAAAGTGGAAAGGACTTTTTGGAGAACTTTATTCAGTTCCTTATCATGAGAAGAAAGAATAACAAGAATGAAAGAGCTTAAAGGTAGATTTAAAAAGCTCTGCTTTTCAGAGTATACATTGAGACATAATGACAAATTGGCTCTGTGGCCCATCTGACCATAGTTCTAACCCAGGAAGTGAAGGGAAGTGTTTCCACAAAGGTGGTATCTGAGTTAGCAAACGGCGAAGGGGCTCTACTGATCGTGTTGGTGGCTGGTAGGCCTTGGCTCCTAGGGTGTGCTACTATATATTGATTGAAAAAAATCCCAAATAATGGCCATTGATCATTTTTTCTAATAACAGTTACAAAGCTGAAAAATGTCAGTTACCTGGCTCATCTTCAGGGACAGTGCCAGCAGGTACACAGGGATATGATTAGATAAATTCAAGAGAGGAGGAAAAAGAAGAGAAACAGATTGACAGAAAATTATACATGGGACTAGATTTCACTGGCCTGTTAGTAACGTCAGGGATGGCGTAATTCATTTTTATTAGATAGTGAATTAACCATTTCTTTTTATAGCTACTACATTTTCAGTACAGTTTCAGCATTCCATAGTTTCTCATATGAATAAATGCACAATGATACTCTTCTAACTAACAGTAGTCTTCAGAAGGTAGATAATTTTCTGGAAAATAAAAGAATAAGAGGGCATTTTATAGAGGGTGAGAATAAAGGTTTCTATTTCAGCTCTTACTTAACATCCTTGGTATTTCTGTCTGAGCTCTGCTGAGAAAAATGGCCAGTGGGCAACAGATTATCTCAAGGTATAGTTTTTCCAGTTTTTAATCTCTTTTCAGGTGACAAATAGTTTTCTCTTAGACAAGATTCACTTGATTTTTAAACTTATTTAATTAAAAAAGTAATTTAATGCTCAACAGGGAGCCCAGAGTAGGGGTATGCTCATCTTGATAGTTAAGACATTTTGAGTAAAGACACACTATACCATAAATTTCCATATTCCAAGGTGTCAATAGCCATCTGCTCCAGTGTTGGTGTCAAAATTGGGGTACTTACGAGGTTTGTCCTGAGTGGGATTGTGAATTAATAGAACAACCTGCAGAGGAACAGTTGTAGGGCATAATAGTGAAGAGAAAGAGTTTCCAAATGAGGTTCAGGTACATCTGGCTGCAGATTTGAACTATGCCACTTATCCAGAGGTGCAACTGTCAATAAAGGTATGAAGAGCATCACAAAAGCAGAACCATGGCTGGGTCCAATGCATACAGCTGAGTGGCCTGATTCCATTTTGGTATAGCCACTTACCACACATGTGACCTTCGGTGGCCTGCTTAACCTCACTGACCTTGGATCTTCTGGTTGGTATTGCCTCCTAGGGTTACTGGTGTGCAGTTTAAATGCGATAATTTTATGAGAAATTTAGCATCTATACATAGAGAGCTCATCAAGCATTTAATAATAATCCTATTATTATCATTATGAATTAGTGCTAAGCGTTGCAAGACTGGGAAACAGCCAAACCCGCTTCTCAACCGGAGTTTCTATCTGTGTAAAATGGAGATGAAAATACTGATCTTCATAGGCTAGTTGTAATGAATGAGATCCGGAAAACCAGTGATGAGGCTAGTCACTGGTTGCAATTATTCAGAAGCAGTCTGAGTGTTTGCATGAGAATTGGCAGTATATTCAGCTGCTAATAGATCTCATAGTGCTGTTTTTAACCATCATTTTCTTGATGTTCATGCCTTTCAAACACTGGCAGGCCATTTTGTCACCTTCCCTTTGTCTTGTCCATCTCTATATTGCTCCACGGATATCATTACACAGTATTTAGCTTTCCTGGCTTCCAATGAAAGAGAGACACCTTTGACATTTCCACCTAAGTATTTTTTAGGTATGATACCATCTGACCTTTAACAAAGACCATCTTTTATAAATCCTTCTTTGCTAACCACTATTAGTGTCACCACTTTTTGATCCAGTCTCACTTTCAAATGTTTTTTTCAAAAGACTCAAAGATTGGAACTTTGAAAAGTGCAGCTTCCAATTTTAGAAGGTAATTTTGAAAGAACTAGGGGGACGGACTCTTCACTAGCCCCATTAGTGTCGAACTTGCAAAGAGAAACTATCTTTAAGGAAAAATTGGCTCCTTGAGCTCATAGCCATTTTGATAAGAACAGTGCAAGGTAATGCAACCCCATTTTAAATCTAGAAGTTCTAAAGTTCAGGCCACATGAAAAGGCAGCAGCGAATGGCATTGGCATGCTGGCACTCAAGAAAGAAATCAGGCACCCAGGTCTTAAGCAAACTGTTTAACGTGCCACAGTAATATGGAAGGAGGACGTGCAAGCAAAATAAAGACGTGACGCTCCCTAGTCTTTCGTTCTTTCCCTTCCTGACTGTGTGATCATTATTCACGGAGACCTTGAACAGTCTGGACCTGTCCCTTCTGTTTCTGGTTTAGATTCCTCACCTGGGAAGGGCAAAGGCAACACCTGGTTCCCATCTTAAACAATCAGTGGCACACAAGTTTGAACAGTTGAGTATACAGGAAGTAGACTGACTGTATTTAGCAGTTGGTGTGGCTACTAGAATAATAATTTGGTGAGGGGAAGAATTTACATTTGACCAGGAATTGTTTGTGTCCTTAGGATATGCAAGGCCAACAGTGGACACAGAGATGAAACACAGATGATTTCTTCCCTTTAGAGTGATACTGTCTCTCACAAAAATTATATTGGGATGTAAATAATAGGAATACAGAGTAGAAAATACAAAGGTCTATTGCAAAGGGACTTATAAAATAGCATCACAGAAGAGAGAGATTATTCTCAGCTACGTAGTAAAGGAAGGCTTCAGGAATGAGGTAGTACTTGAGTCAGGTCTTACTTGAATAAATTCTGTTCGTGCAGAGAAGGGGTGGAATAATTTTATTAATGACACAATAGCTTTACCTGAAGCAGATGAATGGGAACTATGTCTAGCCAGGTGTGGACCATTCTTTCCAAAGGAATATGAGATCACATGACCTTGGACTTTATACTCAGAGTCTAGGAATTTATCGTACAGGCAACACATGAGTAGGCTTTCAATACTGGCTTTTCATTAGAATCACATAACAAATTTTAAAATTGCAGGATTGTCCCCAACAGTTTTGAGTGCTAGAGCAAGGCTGTGAATGGAAAGGCCCACATACTGTATGTTAAAAATATTTCAGTTTTAAAGGAAGGTACGCCGAGATCTGGACCCTGGGCTGGGAGCCTCAAGTAACCTGACTTTCCCAGAAGGCTATGCTGCCACTAGGGGTCTTAGTGGTTGCATGAGTTCAGGGGGCAGGAGGGTCGGAAGCTGGGCTCAGTCTGGGGCTGCCGTGTGGGGGCCGCACCTGCCCTCGTCAAGGCTTGGGAACGTCTTAGTAGTCAAGGGCTTTAGGCAGTCAATGGCTTAGTAGTTAATGGCAGCCTCCCTGGCCATTTCAAACTGCAGCTTCTCAGGAGTTTCTCTGCACCACTCCTAACTAAACTCACCTCCCAACATGTAGCAAAAGCAGAGGAGCGTACTGGGGGCGTGTCCTTCTACACCCTCCCACTTCCAGATGGAGGCAGACACCTAGAACCTAGAGCAACCTGGTTCTCCAGCTTCCCAGGCACAGCTGTGACCATTGTTCCTTGCCTGATGCCACCTGCTTTGACCCACTTGACTCAGCTGCTATGTCCTTTTGTCATGTACTGTGTGTCCCCAGTTGGGTATCAAACTTTAAAACAGGAGGCTAAGAAGAAAGAAAAGTAACTTTTCTTTGCATTTTGTGATGTTTGGAGCCTTGTAAAGCATGCGACACTCTTGGTCAGGCCTATGAAGTCAATGCTAGAACCACTGATGCTGAATTTCTCAGGGGTTTGGTTTCTGGGTCGATGCCAACAAGTTTCTGGGGTGAAGGTACTGCTGGGGTGGGAGGGGTGAGCAATCACTGCTAACCTGGGGTCGCCTCTCTGTGCTCAGTGGTTAGAGGGGGAGGGACAGTCGAGAGGATCAAGGTTTATTTCCAGCTCCTTATGGGTCAACTGTGTCCTAAAGCCTAGTCCCTATGAAATGTGGTCTTACCTGGAAATAGGATCTTTACAGAAGTAATTAGGGTGAGCTGAGTCCATCCCTGTGGGGCTAAGTTCAATAATGTGGCTTCCTTACGAGAAGAGGAGGGTCACACGGGAAGGACAGGGACAGAGATTGGAGCTGTGAGCTAAGGAACACCAGGGACTGCTGGCAACTTGCAGAATGTCAGAAGAGGCAGGGAAGGATCCCCGCCTGTGTGTCTCAGAGAGAGAGTGTGGCCCTGCTGACACCTTGGTTTTAGATGTGTGGCCTCCAGAATGGTGAGATAGTACATTTGGTTGTGGTCACCCATCCAACATGTGCTACTTTGTTCTGGCAGCCCTGGGGAATCATACGTAGCTCAGGGGCATGTGATGGGGTTGGCCCCCATGTGAACCGGGTGGACAGTGAGGCAGGCCTCTCTCCTCCAGCACTGGAGCTCTGGGACTGTTCTCCACAACCTGGAGGACATGTCTGCATGGCATGGAGCCTCCTACTTAGCGTTTCTGTTTGTCACCTGGCTGCATAAACACAAGGTACTAATTTGCTATGGGCTTCAATTACCTGCTATACAGAGAAATATAAACAGAAGGTATTAATTTACTAGAGGTTTCAATTGTCTATGGTATAATAAGGCAGTTTCCAACAGTTAAATTAAGGTTTTACATACTTTTCTTTCTATTCTCATAATGACCATATTTTAATTTTGGTTTTGGAAATATTTTTGGTTGTATGTTAAGGGTATTCCCTTTAATCTGTCATAGTGAAAATTATTCAGAAAACCCATAGAAGATTACATCTCTACAAGTCACATTTTCCAGATAGGAAATTACTGTGGCACTGAATTGCCAAAGGGAAAGCTGAAAAATTTGGGTCACGCATTCACCCCATTCTGGGACAAGAGTTGTCAAGTGGTGCACAGCTCATTTTTGTCCTTTTCTCATAAACAAGCTGCGTTCACAAGTTACTCTTAAAAAGTGCACTAATTTTCCCAGTGACTTACACAGCAAAGAAACCAGCGCTGCCTCCAGAAGACTCAGATAGTTTTTGTTCTTTGAGCTCAGGTGTGGTAAACTAGCTGGGGGCCACAATGCACCCTGGATACTGGCCAGCAGTGTGCGAGAGTGCCCCCTCCTCGCTAGCCCTGATTTCTCACATCGGCACTCAACTCACAGCCTGCCTAGTGGGGGGAAGGAAAAAGAAAGAAAGAAAAAAGACTTGATTTTCAATTTCAATTTAATTACACAATCTATACTGCCTACTGGGAAGGATTTAGGAGTAAGATTCATGGTCAACAGTGCTCTGTTTTACATTTCTGTCTGATAAAGAATACTGTATTGATTATCCAAAGTGAGTTTTTAAAAAATGTTTTTCAAGAGCCAAAGTCCTTCGGTGGCAGAGTGATTTGAAAAAGAAGGTGACTTCATTTTTTTGACTCTGTGCCAGGATGTAGACAAATTAGAAGAATAAGATGAATAAATTAGAATATGATGCCTCTGTGAATTGTATGGCCAGTGCATTCTTGGGAGTGGGGAACACATCTCTAATTGGAAGAGGAATGAATAGAAATTCCAGTGTAGGATTAGAAATACAAGCTGGTGAACAATGATTGCATAATACAACTATCTGTTCGGAGAATGACTGTATACATAAAATATTAAGGCCTTTCTCTCTCATGTTAAAGTCCAAAGCATTTCACTTTCTCAATGGGACTAGAAACCATTATGATTTTATCTGGCATGAAATCAAAGTTTAAGATTATAAGTAAATATTTGGTGTTCTCTTTTGTTGTCTATATATTCTATTAGTTCAGCCACATATACAAAGAAAGAAAATACAGGAAATGAAAATTTACTCTTAAGAAATACCCTTAATATATTTTTGAGATCTACTCTTTAACTTATTAAATAAATGAGAAAAACAGGTCTCTTTATAAGGAGACATATTCCCTGTGGGACTTAAATAAATAAAAATGGCAGCAGTAAAGTTAATAGCTTAACTGTTGCTCAGCCTTACAAAATCACTTGAGCTCATACAAATAACTGAAAATACAACGATAAGGATACTAAGCCCAAAAGGTAAATAAACTATTTGCAACGACCACCTGCTTTTGCTATTACACAACGACAGCTTTCTCAAGCATTAAGTTGACTACTTCTGCAAGTCAGCATTTACAGTCATGTTCAAAAGCAAAAAGGCACCTGATAAACATTAACGTTTGCAGGATAATATGGTCATCAAATGGGTTCGCCGTCTTGAAAGCTTGATGAATTACAGGGTATGTGGCGCAGATTGGGTAAAGCTCAAACTTTGCTTAGGTAGATTGACAGTGGGAGTCAGAACTGGAGCTTCTTTTAGAGAGCATTTATGACTTTGGAAGATGCATCCTTGAGTGGTGTAAAGGTGGATTTACCTCTCTTCTTGACAAGGCTGAGTTACCACTTTTGTCAGAGGAAGGAAAGAAGGCATGGAGATTTGTATCTGTGAGGGAAATCTGAGCATACTCTGCCACAGGCCAATGCCTGCATTCGCACAGGAAGTATGTGCGGCTCAAGTGGCCCACAGAAGGAGCAAGTGGTTTTCGCTGAAGGCCCGCCCCCCTTGGTTTGTATGTGGGATTGCGTGTGACAAGCCCCTTAGACAGTTATATATAAGGACTCCATCTTGTCAAAAATACAAGTAATACATCACTAAGAAGATTGGATAAGAAAGGAGAGAATCAGACAGGAAAATGCCAGGTGATTATGAGTAGAAATGAAAGATCAGAATGGAAAGTTGCCTTGGGGTGGCCTTTTGCTGCTAGGGGTTCAGCTCTTAGCTATGTGGGAGGGAATGACTTTCACCTGAGGGTATGAACACTTGAGAAAGTCACAGAGGAGGATCATCTATGTTTAGGGAAAAGTAGATCAAAGCTATCTATTTGCTGTCATGATGGTATCAATGTAGAGGTCA